GAAGAGATTCAATCGCCACTTTGGTTGAGAAATGTCCCATAATTTGTGCATTATTCGCACGATTTTCAAGGAATGGAGTACACAGCTCTCTGCCCAATTGCCGATAAAATAAGCGTCGTTCATACAATTTTTTAACAAGCATTTAATTATTCTCATAATACAGAATATATGCTCCAAGGCAGGCAATATCGAGAATATTGTAAAAAAAATGCTAGAGACCATCGTTGAGTTGATCTTTTTGTAGTATATCTACCAAGCATTTTATCCGTCTACTCCAGCTTTAGACCAGTTACAAAACTCGATGATTTCAGGTTTTTTCTTTGCACTATCACTAACTTTTRCTTCGTGATGAATTGATGAGAGCATAATTACTACCTTGTTTTTTGGAACATAACTTTYATGAAAGCCAAACACACTGGATAATTCTTCTCGAGTTTTTAAAACAGTCGTTGCTGGTGCAATGTATGCTTTTTTTTCTTCAGAGTACCAACAATCGTCAAGTTCCATGATAGTAAAATGATAGTTAGAAGAAGAGTTGTGAAGAAATTATCCATTGTAATGTTTCTACCGGATTCTTTGCATGGTGCCACCAAGTCTTTAACAACATAGGTACCTAAAGAGAACTATAGACTATGTCCCAATTTATAGTTATTTCCTATGCCATGTCGCCAACTTACACAGAAAAAAATATTTATTCAGTATACTAACAACTTCTACATCTGCTCCACCTGGGTACCCGGGTATCCGGTCATTGAACGAATGGTGAAATTTTGGTCATTGGCCGAACGGTTAAATGAAGGTCGGAATGTAAAGTCGAAATGTTCACCGGTGGGTTTTGTAAATTGGCAGCRTTGCCAAACAGTACCCATCCGAATACAGTATTTTGTGCCATTGGTGTACCCCTTTCACCCTTACGGGGTCAGCGTAGTAGAAATTTGTTCATTTCAACCGTTTCAATTAAAATATCTATTGATCCGGGCTGCTAATAATAGCGGTCAGCTAGTGGCAAATCCGTAAGATACGGCCAAAAAGTCGTCGGTAAAGTGGRAGTTGAGAGATCGTTAGTAATTTTCGGTAAGATGAGCGTACTTACTTGAAATTTAGTATCAAGCGTTCGCGTTGATATGGAGAATGTAACTTCTCTCTTTGCACGGCCTCTTTGCAGTRACCCAATCCCAGCGACGGGAACTAATGGCAGCGTTCAGGGAAGGCGAAGGCGTTAGACACACGCCTCGATGACGAAAGTGGCATGCGAACCGTTGTCGAAAAGTGCGCGATCGGGTTGCCAACGACCGATATAATTTTTTACCATAATTTGAGTGGTTGCTAATAGAATGGCGCGATGAGCGTCGACGTAGTCGTGGTTACATTTAAACGTTGTTCATTGGAAAGAGTATCGAGCTTTGCCGGTTGATTGGTAAAATTTTCGTKAAGTAAAGTATGATGACGTCGTTGGCATATGCGACACGRGGATGTACTATGACAGTTAGCGAGGATATGCCCTTTGCTRARACAATTTATACACGTACCTAACTTCCGAATAACAGTTAGTTTACCCTTGGAGTCGAGTTGGCTGAACTGTGAGCAAACGTAGATTTTATGATCACCATTGCAGTAAGAACAATGCGGCTCCTTAGTAGCGGTTGATGTAGTGATATTTACTTCTGGCTCTGTAAATGTCGTATGGAAAACATTATTCGTTGTTGTTGTTTTTGCGGTAGTTTTGAGTAATGGTACCATCTCCAGTGAGCGTGCGCGATTTTCAAGAAATTCTCGAAGAACGGAGAAAGATGGTAGATCGTCCATGACGAGCGATAACTAAAAAGCTTCATAAAAAGGAAGCCATTGAGAGGGATCACCACTAAATGACGGCAAAGTCGTTTCAAGTTAGCTTTGGCGGTGCTGTACCACTCCTCACCTTGTATACGTGCCTGCTCCTCCGGAAGATGAATTATATTTACGCGGACTGAAATAAAAAGCGTGCTATGCCTTCGAATTCCTTTGTTGAAGAGATAGGTAAAACGGAATCTGGTTTGACAGCAATCACATAAGTGTTGCCCATGAAGCTTCAAACATACATATGTATGTTTAGAAAGATGATGCCAGATAGGCGCGAACACTGACAATTAATAAATCAGTGATGCCCCATATATCTAATTTAAATATTTTCGAATTCCGGGTGACTATGCTGCATATATCAGCTAATATTTCATATATTATATATGTGTAAAAAAAGTGGCGCATCCTGGTGACATTGATCGTGACTATCCTGATCTAAAGAAATTCTTAATCAGTAAGGATGCTGTTATAGTCCCTATTTCAGGGAACACGAAAAATTTTTTTAAGAAAAGTGCTCCTTTTTTCGTGTAAATAAAATAATTGTATTTTTTTTTTTTCACATTTATAAATAAAAAAAATAAAATAAATATATGCCATATACATATATACTATCTACTATAAAAACTTAACACAATATCATAACTTTTATCATTTAAAACGTTCATAAGCATCTAGCCTGCAGATGCATGTACATAAGTACAAATCAATTTCAAATCAAGATATTATCAATTATCAATAATATAAAGTGTGCGCTCATCTCTATATGTACATATGTATGTGCGTATGACATTCTCACACAAATAATATATGCGTACACATGTAAATATGTCATCCCCAACTTCTGTTGAAATTTCAAGTGAACTGGTTGTGTTTTTGGTGCGGTCCTGGGGTTTTTTAAAAAATTCCTAGTTTTTCACACCAATTGTTAGCGATTCCTTTGCTGAGGCTAAATCAACTAAACGGACACTAAATATAAGATGAGATAAGTACAATTTGTTTTTTTAATTTAAATGTCCTTTGCACTTACCCACATATAATATATTTTGTAATTTGATCAAAACATATTATTTTTCCCCCTKAAAACGGCGGTCTCAACAAAACGCGTGCTAATATTTTTTTTGCATTGCCGTGTTTGTTTTGAGCACTCAGCTGTTCTCCTGTTTGTTTATCCTCTTTCGTATTCCTTTGGTTTGGCATTGCCAACTACAAAAAAATATAAGCAAGGATTTAGGGGCAGTGACTGAGCATACGTATTGTCAGCAGCATCTAAGTATTTGCTCATTGAGGGATGGCCTCTGAGAACAATAGTGGATGCACCCCCGAGAATCCATATTGAAGGAACTCAAAAATTATGAGAACGCCTCCTAATGGAAAAAGTGAGTTATCCACCGCTGCTGGATCAAAAAGAGAATGCGAAAATGCCAACCACATAATTGAAGGTGTCAAACSCTCGGAAAAAATACAAAGTACCCAAATTACCCAAAACTTTAACCAGTTGGGCAGTAAAATAAAAGAACTGGAGTACATTATGGCTGGCTAAAGGCACATAAACCAGGATATGCGTGACCAAGTAAGCAACATAGTGGTCCTACATGCTAAGGCTGAGAAACCGGAAACCTAACTAAAAGGATTATGGTATGGAAAGCATCTCAGGTTTCCCCAATGGCTAAGGAGGTAAATACCCCGAAAGGGATGCGTGAGACAATAGGCTTTTTACCTCCAACTAAAAAGCCGAAAAATACAAATCAAATGGAGTAGCCCACCGAAGCTTGGGTGGACGTTGTTAAAAAGCGAAGACCACTCGAAAAGAAAATTAGATCGAGGCCAGACGCCATCATACTTACGAAAAAGGATGGGGCATCATGTGCGGATATTCTCCGGAAAATAAAAGCTGACAATGGTTTAGAGGAAATGGGCTGAAGCGTCACGTACATAAGACAAACGTTGAAAAGGGACCTGTTATTAAAGCTGAAAAACCAAGCGGATAAGAGAGCCGAAGAGTTTCAAAGTGCCTTAGAAGGAGTGGTCGGTGAATTGGCTGTGATACAACCCAAAACGTACAACGTCATGATTATTTGCAAGGATTTGAATGAAATAACTTCTCCAGAAGARATTTGCGAAGCTATGCAAAAGGAGTGTGGAATAGAGAATCTGGGAAAAATAAACGTTAAGAGTATGCGAAAGACCCGAAGCGGTACTCAAATTGCTGTCTTATGCCTGCACGTCCAGGACGCCAAGACTGCGCTTAAGGTTGGCAAAATAAAAATCGGGTGGTCTGTATGTCGCCTCCGGGAATACTCCCCTATTCCCCGATGCTTCAGGTGTTTCCATCTGGGACACATGGCGCACAAATGTTCCAACCCTGTGGACAGGTCGTCTCTATGTACACGTTGTGGAGCCGGTGGACATGTAGCGAAGTCATGTACTAATAATCCATGCTGCATGCTTTGTAAAGGAGCACACTCAGCCTTGAGTACTACGCGCCCGAAATATCTCGAGATGGCGAAATCGTTAGGGAAATGAGGATATTACAATTAAACCKAAATCATTRCGCAGCACCGCAAGAGCTACTAAAACAGACAGTATTTGAAAAAAACATTGATGTTGCCTTACTAAGCGAGCAATACTCCCAGCGTTCGGAAAGTACCTGGACTACAGACATATGTGGCAAAGCTGCAATATGGTCTTGTAAAGGACAACCATTTATGTCTCCCTCCGGAGGTCATYATTTTTTCACATGGGCAAATATACGAGAAATATACTTTGTTAGCTGCTATGCTCCTCCCAGTGCCTCAATTAAAGATTTTGAAGACTTCCTCCTGGAACTTCCTCTAGAAACCAGAGGCAAATCATCAATTATAATCGCAGGTGACTTCAATGCGTGGTCGACCGCTTGGGGTATTAGGCGCACAAACCATCGTGGGCGTCTGATACTTGAGTTCCTCGGCCAAACGAATCTTACGATCTTGAATAGCGGAACGCAAAATACTTTTCAAAAGGAAACAGGGGCTCCATAATCGACCTCATAATTGCAAACGACTTTCTTAGCAGGCGCATTAAGTGGGCGGTTTTATTTACTTATAGTGACCACATGGCTATTATTGCTGAAGTCTCTTATGCCGGAGGGACGAAACGCCGCAGAAAGAGCACATGCCAAAAACGAATCTGGAAACAAAACGACTTTGATGCCGAACTTTTTGAGATGGTCTGGAGTTCAGCRAATATACAAGGCGAAGACGCCATGCACTTAGTAGCCTTAGTACGAAAACAAGTGGTCACAGCATGCGACATAACCATGCGTAGGACAGTACACCACAACAATCGGAAGACAGCGTATTGGTGGAATGAAGAAATAGCTGGACTTAGAAAGCTCAGCCATTCACCTAGACGCCGCCTACAACGTAATCAACGGGAAGAAAGCGAAAGCAGTCTCAGACAAATATTTAAAAGGCAGAAGAAGCTTCTAAAATCAGCCATTAACCACAGTAAAAGGAAGGATGGAAAGGCGGAACAAAAGAATATTGTGCGCTGATCACCTTGGATGTGAAGAATGCTTTTAACTCAGCAAAGTGGGCAAACATAATCAAAGCTCTGTATGACATGCGCGCTCCTCAATACCTCATGGAAATTGTCATAAGTTATTTTGAAAACCGGCGACTTTTATTCGATACAGATGAAGGCACCAAGAGCTACTCTGTCTCGAGTGGAGTACCGCAAGGCTCGCTTTTATAGGCCCCCTTTTATGGAACTAATGTATGATGGGGTACTAAGGACACACCAACCGAAAGCTATTAAATTAGTTGCATACGCAGATGACCTTATTGTGGTGGCAGTTGCTAAACACCTCGATGACCTCCGCAGCAAATGCAATGAGTGCATATACGGTCTGCGCCAATGGTTCTCCTCAATGAGTTTAGAACTGGCTGAGAAAAAGACAGAAGTGCTGCTCATAAGTACAAGAAAAGTAGAGGAAAGTATACCTCTCACTATAGGGGAGTGCGAGATTCATTCACAGTCACACCTAAAATATTTGGGAGTAATAGTAGACTCAAGGCTCAAATTTAAGGATCACATAGGGTGCACTGCAGGTAAAGCAAATAAAATCCTGAATGCCTTATGAAGAATGATGGCAAATAAAGGCTGCGCACGCAATTCCAAATGGCGTTTTTTACTCGCAAAGGTAATGAAATCGGTTGTGTTGTATGCGCATCCAATATGGATACAGGCGCTAGGCATCAAAGTATATGCCCGACAAATAAACACGGTGCACAGGCTGTCGGCACTAAGAGTTATCAGTGCTTTCCGAACGATTTTAAGCGATGCTGTTGAAGTAATAGCCAGTATGATGCCCATTGACATCCAAGGTGATGAATACGAACGAGTTTACAAATTACCAGAGCCATCTATAGGAGCCAAAAAAGAAGAGAGAGTGAAAAKCTTAACGATATGGTAGGAGCGGTGGCAAACTTTGGAGACTTAAATGTCTTATCAGTCCCACGAAGTAATACTTAATCAGTTTTTTCCGTAGGAGAGTCTGGAGTTGGGAGTAGGTTAGGTTTAGCGGATTAAAGTTCCGCACTCCGGCTTTTAATGCTTCCCCATACTTGAAAAAAAAAATTATTAAAAAAAATGTCATCCCCAAAAACTACAAACATTCTTTTGCAAAAACAACGGTCGTCTCAAACATCATCATACATATTTATATGCGTACACATGTAAATATGTGCAACATACATACTTATATGTGTTCACACGTGGATATGTCACCCACATAAATTACAAATATTGTTCTCCAAAAACAACAATCGTTTCAAATAGCAAAGATGTTCAGTCTTGAACGCAAACGCACTTTCAAAAAGCAAATTCGATTCATTCATAAAAGCAGACGCCATTACATCTCCCCGAGCATGCCTTTGCCTACAAGCAGCTTATAGGGACGATGGCAAAAGCCAAAAACCATAAATTGAATATATTTCTAAAATGTATGAGAAAGAAAAAGTGACAACCACGCAAATATAAATATATTAAAGTATATTAGAATAAAATCGCCAACATAGTTTCAAAAAAAAAAATTCAATATTCCTCTGATTTATGTGTACAGTCAATCCCGGTTAAGTAGTACTTATCATAAATGAAAATCATCCCTCTTAACTGCCTACATATATCTTGCTGCATCTCACAGTTCGTTTTTTTAAATACATATAGGGGTTTCACATAGCCTCATAAAGTTATAAGTTATAACTATCGGAAAAAATTGCGTTAAGTTGTATTTGCGTAAACTTATTTTAGTATGCAATCCAACAACACATACTAAATACATTAAATAGCATACATTAAACTAATATAAAAATTTATGATTCTGTGATTTTACGATGCGCTATGACACGTTGTGAGTACTCCAATAGAAATTATTGTTTTAAGTATCACCCGTTTAAGAAGTATCCGCACTCGCTTATGTGCCATATTACATTTTTTATTTTTAACAAACCACAAAATCTGTATCTTTGACAGTATTAACTGTACTTGTTAAGAAATGTAAAAATATTTTGTAATTCTGAAATATTTTTACGCGACTCGCAAAAATCTACGTAGATGTGTATGCAAGCTCACACATAAACATACATATTTACGCTGGTTTGTAGGCTAAGCTCCAAGCAATTCTCTCCAAGAATAATCACTTCTCTGTGCTTCTGCTTCGACTTCCAGTCTTCAGGTGTTGGTTGGTCTCCCACGTCTTCGGCTTCCTTGTGGATTCCAATCTAGCGCTGTTCTGCTAAGGTCATCGTGAGCTTTCGCAGAGTGTGGCTGATCTATTTCCATTTAAGACGTCGAATTTCGATATGGATCGGTAGCTGTTTGGTAAAGGTCCAGAGGTTAGCATTTCTAATAACGTTAGGCCTGAATATCCACAAAATTTTTCGAAGACATTGATTAAGAAAGGATTTCAGCGATTGTAAAACATTCGCTGCAATATTCCACGTCTCGCAGCCATATAATACAACGGATTTCACACTTACATCGAATATTTTTTGCTTCGTACGTATGGATAAATGTGTTGATCTCCTGACTTTATCCAACATTACGAAGGCAGCGCGACCTTTGGATATACGGTGTCGAATATCGGCTGCTGATCCACCGTTTTTAGATATGATGCTACCTAAACACCAAAACTCGTCGTCTTTTTCGTTACATGTTCCAGCGATTTATAGGTTTAGCGTTTCGGTTGCGTTGATGCGCATGAATTTTGTCTTCGCTTTATTAATTTTAAGTTCAGTTTATGAGGCGAGATCACTAACAGCTTCAAGTTTCAAAGAGATGTGTGAATATTTATAGGACAACAGACAGATATCATCCGCATAGTTCACATCTTCAAGGCTACCGTTTAAACACTAAAATATAATTGGAATTAGTCATAAATTTGGTTGTATGTAGAAATATTTGTTAAAATAAAATAAAGGTAAAGGTCTTAGTTTAAACCGAATACTTTTTTTAAGTATAGAAAGGTTTTTTTTTCGTAAAAGACGGGTTATTTGTTTTATTAATAATTATGCACGTTTTGCTTTTAAACTGCAATACTAATTTTAAGCATTTTCTACGTCCCTACGTAGGTATGTAGGCACACCCTAATGCCTGGCTTGTACTTGTTTTTTTGCAATTGAGAGCTCGTCGAAGAGATCAATATGTTTTGTACATATGTACATATGTAAGTGTGTTCGAATTGTGTGTGCTAATGTATGTGGGCAAAGAATGTGCTGTAATGTTTTTAATACGCTTTTATTAGCTTCACTTGTAAGTGGTACTGAAATGTAGAATATTTGAGCGACACTGTAGGCGACAGTAAGTTTAAGCAGCTCACCAAAAATATGCAACATCTATGTATATAAAACTAGTTTTGGCGACATTTGAGTAGCATATGTACATATATGTATACTGAAATATACATATGTATATCCTTAAAGAAAGTATACTTTATATAGATATACCTCATAAGATGCAAGGTTGTACAGTAGATCATGCAGTAATTTAACTGGGCTCTCGACTGTTTGCTGCTGGACAAGCTTATGTAGCACTTAGTCGTTGTAGATCTTTGGACGGAATTTGAATTGAAGAACTAGACTGTTCAAAGTTGACAGGTAAAACCCCATGTAACAGTGAAGCTTTAGAAGAAATGATTCGATTAAGAAATAATAATTATTAAAGTCGTCAATAGAACTTGGTCGCAAATAATATAATATAACAATTAGTCAATGAAAGGTTACGAGTAGATATTAAATGCTGTCTAATTATCGATTTACTTAACCGATACAACATGTCATACATAGTTCATATTTTAACAAATTTAGGGTTTCTCACATCAAACTAAAAAATTAAAAATAAATATAGTTTAAAAAAACTAAAAAACACGCTTTTAAAGCATATCAAACTAAAAAGTGAAAAATAATTCTTTGTATAAACTAACAATAATAATGAAGGACAAATTCTTGGATTATTGTGAGAAAAGCGTGGAGTGCTTTGTGWCWTATTTTTCATACATCGAGCATTCCACGCTATTTTCACAATAATCCAAGAATTTTTCCTTCATTATTATACACTACATTGTGCAAGTTTAGGACCGAGCTTTTGTATGGGTTTTTCACAAACTTACATACATATGTACATTTTGTAAAACTGATTTTTTTTTTATTCTTTCCAAAAAAACTTATTTTGTGAGTTTTACGATACCGTTCCGTTTAGTTGTTTCCTTTTTTTATAGAATGAGTTAAAATTTATATTTTTAATAATTTGGTACCCAGTGATGTATATTCTATGCCGTATGTAAGCATCAGGTACGCTTCTATATTTTGCAATAGAAGGAGAGCGCGAAACGGAATTGAAAAAAAGTTATTTTCCTTTGTGCTCTTATGTATGTATGTATTAACACGTCTCTTAAATTTCAATTTCGATATATTTGTACGCATACCTTTT